TTGACTTCTGCCATCTATGAATCATCCAATTTCAGCAATAATCCCTGCTGATAAATGGGTTTAGCCAGAATCCCCACCCTTGATATATTATGGGGTTCTTCATCCACCACCATACCCCAGGCATTGTCAAATTACCTGGCAAGCAGTCATCAAAAACCTGTTAGGGTATTTGGCAAGGATCCCTGTAATTGTCAATTCTCTGGTATTTCCTTTTAGTAATAATAGAAAATTATTCACTAAACATCCCAACATACACTATAAATTGCTACTTCTCCTTTTATTTGGAGTTGAGCCCAATCTCCCTCTCCTACCAAAAATCTTACTGCAGTGGTCAGTCCCTGGAACAATCACGGAGAGTCCTAAACAAACTCTGCTTTGCTGTTTTAGCAAGTGTTAGATTACGTTGCTCCTCTACCTCTCCTAACCGCGCTTTTAGGGTAGACCCTAAACTCCCAGAGTGAGAGGTTTCTCCAAATGCCTAGCCATGCCTTCCTCAAATTTCTTGGTAATCTCTAATTTGTTCAGGTGAGAGAAATTAACAAATTCAACCTAACTCACATTATTGTATTGCCAAATGTTAAAAACACAAAGGTAGTTTTGTTTTAAATCTGCATTTTCCATAGAAATCTATAGCACTTAAACTGATTCCCCTTTAACATAACTTTATTAGACCTAAATTAGATCTATTAGAACCTCTAACCAGATGCTGGTGTTGAGAGAAAAGTTACAGACTTTCTATATCACAGTAAAACCTTCACTGTACATCTGGGAGAAAGTGGAATTATAAAGTTTAACTGGATTAAATACAGAATTTTATTAAAACAAGTTTATATGTGCTAATCATCTAATATTGAGTTTTCAGTTCTAAAGTTAGCTGTGTATATTAACTGCATTTCTAACAAGTACCTTTTTCAATATCGCTTGCAGGAAAATGACATTGTAATGCCTGGGCCAAATGCCAAATTCTATTAACATCAGAAATCCAAGACAATATTTTCCCATTGAAGACAGTCCAAAAATCAGGGGTCTACTTAGATATAAATATAAGAACTACATGGACCTGGAATCCTATTTATAAAAGAATAGCACGTTGCATGATGCCACATAATGTATACTTGACTTTGGAAAATGTTAAAGAGTTTTCAACAGACATTAAAAAGTTCTAATGCTAACAGTGACACATGTTCATGCTTAATGAACTGAAGGGCTTCCAACTCAGCATCTCAACCATAGAAGATACTGAAACTAAAAGAAAGTTTAGATATTTTCTCCATGGAAATTTTTCATATGCAATAATCGTGGTTTTGCCTAACCTTAACTTTACAACAGGTTGAAATAAGATCTGAAACTTCTGCAAATACAGATACAGATAATACTCAGCATGAAAAAGAAACAAACTAGCTGGGGGTACAGTTCAGTGGTAGAGCATGTGCTTTAGTAGCACAGACAGGGCCCTGGGTTCAATTGTCAGTATTAAAAAGAGAAAGAGAAGCTTACATCCTTGTATCCTATTGTTGAAACTGAATGGGGTTCTGACAAAGCAGAATTGACTAAGCTTAGTTTAAGAGTAACAATTTTTCTGGGGGAAAAAAAAAGGTCACCATACAAATCTTTACTGGAAGAATAAAAGTTCTTTTGCCTAGATCTTTTAAATACTGGATTTTGTCTATATAAGCATGAAAGAATTTTTTAAATTACACAATACATAAGTTATAAAAGTTAATTAATTATATATGAAAAAATTAAATGCCCTGATAATTACATTTGAACACTGATTTTCTAAAAACTAAATGTCTCTGGAAGATACCCCCCTCTTTATTTCCCCAACATTCTTGATTTAAAACCTAGGTACAAAGTGTGCATTTAATACAAAGCAATTTCATCATACATTTCATAAGAGAAATTACAAAGTAAAATAAGAAATTCTGAATTCCTAATTTAGCACTGGCATCTTTTTGTCAATAAGAATGCTAAAGTAAACCCACCTAAGCTTATCCTTATCTTATTCTCTGCCTTAATGACCTTAACCCATTTAGTCCCAAGTTTTCAATTCTAGGAATATTTCAAGAAAAATTATACAAGTACATCAAAAGCTTGTATATCCTTTTTATATTTTGTTTGAGAAAATGCTGAGTATAGGAGTGAAGAATAAAAGTTGTACCCTAGGGAGGAAGCCCTTTTTTCTGTTAGATAGTGACTATAGTCAGTGTGACCATTATATTTTTATATTTACATGAAATACTTTTTCAAATGTTCTAATCATTCACCTATTTCTTTTCTCAAAAGGAGAGAATTATAAAAACATAATATTTGTTTCAGAAGTTATCATAAGTGGCATATTTATTGCTTAACTTCTTAAGTTTTTATAGGTGCTCATCATTTGGGATGATGAGACTTGATTAATTAACCCCTTGGCTTCAGCTATCCCTTTCTATAGTCAAATCCTGCTTCTTGTTACCACACAATTCTCAACTTCGTTAGACTTCATCATCCCACTGTCAGATGCAATCATAAAGTAATGAGATGATAGAGGGACTATCAAAATTTCCCTTAAGTTGGAGGAAGGAGGGTAGTAGTGAAAGGCAAAGAAAACCTCACCGTGTAGGATTCATAAGGTGGCTCTTAAGGAAGGGTAGGCACTCAGAAAAGAAATGGAAAGGACATTCCAATGTTAAGAATAGTATATTCAAGTAGATATAGTATATACCAGAGTGATGCTCCTTTTCAAAGAATTTGGTATGCACTCAATGTGGATTTCCTGTAAGAGATTACTGGGAATTAGCTCAAGCAGATTGAGGTCATGTGACCAAGAGCCATATAAACCACACTAAGGGGTTTTAGAGACTGTATCCATTAAATGGTTCTAAGCCAGGAAATACCAGGATTATAGGGGCCTAGGCCTGGGCAGTTAGTCCAATTAGGAGAAATAAATTACTCAAAACAAGAGGTATCAGAGGCCTAAACCAAAGCAAAATCTGTGGACAAAGAGAACAGGAGAAGGATGCTAGCAAGTAGGAAAGAGACCCTATTGACTGATAAGGAATGGAAGGCAGTAAGGAATTAAGAGGACTCTAGAACAACTCTTCAAGGAATAGATGATATTTAAGAGGAAGATGACCACTTTGCTTTTAAACAATTGAGTGTAGTATCCAGTAGACTAGTAAGTATATGGGTATGAAATTCAGATGTAAGATATAGACTAGATACATTTAGTGTGAATTATCAAATCATACTCTCTAAATAGTATTTCTTCTTATGTAAAACTCGTGCTCCAGAAATACTAGATTTCTTAATGTAGTATATCCCATTTTTACTAACATGCTATTCTTCATATTTTACAAAATACTGAACTGTCTCCCTACTTTACAAAGATTAATTACTCCACTGAATCCACCAATATATAACCTAAAATCAATAAAGTAGATAATAATAGCCAAATTCCTACCACTTTCTCTCTTAGATTTGAGGGCCAACAAATGAGCCCATGATTGGAAACATTATAAAGACCACCTTATAATTTATAGTCTTAAAAGAGCACCAAGTTTATTTAGACACATGGATTACTACTTCTGCAGAAGACTTCTAAACATAGATCTAATAAGTACACTCACATACTATTTAGCAGGCAGGCATACAATTTAATTGTCTTTAGTCTAAACATAGAATTAAACTACAAATTAGGTATCAGTGATTTAAAACAATGCAAGTTGAAAAAATTTAAATTATTACCCTTAGCATACCATATTTTATTAGTGGAACATGTAAATACAAACAAAGATTGTACATAAGCAAATAACAAAATTCACATTTATGTTCCTCTAATGACTGTTCTGTTCTGACGACTGTGGTTTGAATCTTAGATATTTACACAGTAATCCCTTTCACTGTGACCAAGTGCTCTGAGCATCCTCGGACATAATGGTCACACTGACTATAGTCACTATCTAACAGAAAAAAGGGCTTCCTCCCTAGGGTACAACTTTTATTCTTCACTCCTATAGTCAGCATTTTCTCAACCAAAGTAAATCCCAAGACTCAAAGTAAAGTAGGAGTAAAGAGAAAAATTTATTTATCTACTGTAAGACTACAGGTTAATTCTGGTTCTGCCAGGACGAGTTAATATTTTCCTCTTTAGTTCACTTATGAAATTTTGAAGTACTGAAGTTCCCTGGAATTAGCATTAAGCATCAGATCACCATGATGCTCTTGCTTAGTGTCTTGGGAAACTCCTGGAGCAAAAACCCATCTCAATCAACTCCCAGTATATCAGGCAGATGTCTAGAGTCTTCAATGGCTAGTCAAACCTACTACCCTAAGCAGGCTGGCCCCTACCTCCTTATTTGTCTCCAATGGCCCAACAAGAGCACCTTACCTCTCACACACCTGCTATAGCAGGAGCCAACATTCTCTCCTGAACTTCCCCAACAAGCACACTCAGGCACTCTTCTCCTGGCATTCCTTTCACTACATATCCTCCACATTTCTGGCTTACCTAATACCTAGCATGCAGGTGACTGCATACCTATATGTGGAAAATATGAATGGATTTGATCAGCCTCTATGCTTACCACCAAAATCTAGGAATATGGCATGACTGAGATAATACCATTTTTTTTAAAAAGTCCTTACTTTATGCTAGAACATCAATTTTCCCAACATTGAAAATCTTTTACTTCAATATATGTATTTTTCAAATACGTTCTCCCCAAGTTTTTACATGGATTCAAAAAATAAAATTTTAAGATAACTTTAAAATCAGTTCACTCTCAAATAATTAACATAGGACAAAATGTTCAACTGTGTCTGCTCATGATATAAATGCAAAGAGCACACACACCTAAGCTAAAAAGTTGTAGGTGATTCTCTAACAAGATCATTTTTATATATTTACCAAATTTTTATAATAAATATAAAATACACTATAATAAACACTAAGTTACTTTAAAACTAAAGGAAAAATACAGTGTTTTCTAAAAGGAAATAAAGTTGAAATCACTTACTTTCTGCTCAGTGTTTTCCTGAAACAAAAGTCCAAAGTAATCCTTCTCCAAAAGATTGAGATGTTCGCATACCTTGTCAATTAACACCTGTCCCTTAGCACGTTTCTGGAGAATTTAAAAAAAAAAAAAGAAAGAAAGAAAGAATCTTTACTTTTCAAGTAATAAAGATTTCACAGTATTTAAGGGCATGAGATCAGATGCATGATTTACTATAAGTTAAAACAAACATTTGTTTTCTAAATATTTCAACAATATAAAAAGTGACTTATTTTTTTACTTTATAGTCTTTCCATCACGCAATGTATGAATTAAAAAATAAAAATATGAACCAGGTATGGTGGTGCGTGCCTATACTCCCAGTTACTTCAAAAGCTGAGGCAGGAGGATCTCGTGATCCTCAAAGAAAGCCTCAGCAATGGTGAGGCGCCAAGCAACTCAGCGAGACCCTGTTTCTAAATAAAATACAAAAAATAGGGCTGGGGTGTGGCTCAGTGGTTGAGTGCCCCTCAGTTCAATCCCTGGCAAATAAATAAATAATCAAATTCCCTTTGCTTTATTGCTACTCTATTATATAAACATGAAAAGGACTAAAACAGTAAAATGCTCAGAGTTCCTAAAATCAGTATAAAAATTTGTTCAAAGTGTTTCCCTTGATACCTAAAGGTGATCATCACATGTCTACAAAGTATACTATCCCCAAGAAAATCATTTATCCCTATTACTAAATGTAACCTATTTATCCCATCAGCTCTTGTTTGAATTTTTAGTCATGCTCCTTGACATTTCTGCAAGGTTTTCAATATAAGCTATGCCTCTGTATACAATTGTCTAGAGAATAATATGGTATTCACTCTTTTTTTTTTTTTTTTTTTTTTTTTTGGTAGTTATAGATAGACAGCATACCTTTATTTTATGTGGTGGTAAGGACAGAACCCAGCACCTCACGTGTGCCAAGCAAGCACTCTGCCACTGAGCTATAGCCCCAACCTGGTACCAGGGATAATAAAACAACTGCTTCTGAGGATTTAACATATTTTTGCCTTGAATAGATTTTTTTTTTAATTTAAGAATCTACTGTCAACAGATGCAAAAGGCTTTGAAAGCCTCAGAAGAAAAGCTCATTGTCTGATTTGTGGCAAAACATAAAGTGGTGACTCATTTCCAGTGAAGATGCACACCCCTGGAACACCCCAACTGCGATGTCAGGCAAGACACATGCCTACTCCCGGATGTACTACTAAGCCATCACTGGACTGCTAGTGAAAAAAAAAAAAAAAAACAAGCTATCAGACTTTTCCCTCAAAACAAATGCCCTTCACTATAAAATGTACACTTGTTAGCTCATCCAGTGTGTAAAAATTTATGTTCCCCATACATATATATCTTGAGAAGGAGAATATGGTACTTCTAGTATTAAAACTTTTATAGTTGTATTTCTTTTAAATATTAGAATTACAAAAAAAGTAAAGGGAAGAAGGAAAAAGCACATAAATTATGTTATTTTAACATAATTTGCAATGTACTATATATACATCACTACAAACCACAATGAGGATTTAATAGTTAACTATGAAGTCTGTTTAAGATGGCTATGCGCTTATGTCAATATGTTTAAAGTACATACAAATAGGCTGTAAAGGATAAGAATACTGGATACTGTGGGCTTAATACTAAAGTTTAAATATATCTTTATTACTTACAAGCTATATGATTCATGGCAAGACCCTTCTATTGGCCTTAGTTTTGCACATCTGTGAAATGGGGATAACAGAACCTACTGTAAGGAGTGGCAAGTACTAAATTTAAGTCATAATATATAACAACTGGTTATGATGCTATTTGAAATTAGGTAAAAAGAATATTTAAGACAACTCAATGTTTATAAAAGCATACCTCAGTTCAAAAAGAAAACACATTCCAATTGTGGCTTAAAGTCATTTTTTATTAATAAGTCATATCTTCTCCCTAGTTTCCATTTCAAAAAGATGACAGAATTCCCCTAACTGACAAGAAAGAAAATATCAGAAAGTTCATCACCGATACGGCATTAGAATCAGCTGGGCAGTAAGACACCAGCACCACCATAGAGGCTGGCATGAAACCAGGTCCCTCTGTCATTCAACGTTTTGTAGTATCTTCTACTATTGGACAAGTATAACAATGGGGAAGCGACTTAATCTCCTCAGCTGTAAAACTCAGATAAGAACTACCTCACAGCTCACTGTGAGAATCAAATTAGCCCAATGAGACAGGATATATCAAAGTACCTTAATTGGTCATAGCCAAATTCTGATCCCAACTTTTGTCTCACTAGCTCACACCTATCAAACATCAAAATATCTTCCAGGTGCTCACACTGTTCCTCTGCCACTCTCCTTCTGTCTCCAAGAAATACTTATTTAAAACACTTGATGAGGGCTGGGGTTGTGGCTCAGCAGTAGAGCACTCACCTACCATGTGTAAGGCGTTGGGTTTGATCCCCAGCACCACATAAAAATAAAGACATTGTGTTCACCTGTAACTAAAAAATAAATATTTTTTTAAATAAAATAAAACATTTGATGAGATCCTGTCTACATGGACTTATCACTTGCGCTTCCCTTCAGCATCTCACTTCTAAGACCAAATGCAACAATTAGGCACATGCAGAAAGATGTGTGTACCAAGTGCTGTGGAAACACTAATGGAATAAGTAACTGAGAAAAAACACAGCTTCACCAAGAATATGACACTGGAAGTGAGTCTTAAAAAAGAAAATGATTTTATGGGGTAGAGGACACAGATATTTATAAGAACTTTTTGTGTCGGATACTTATCGAGCTTGACATAGTCAATTTCTGTTCAAAAGATTTTGGGGGGGTACACTAAGATGAAAAAATGAAATCATCCATAATGAACAAGCAATGCAATACTGACTGCTAGCTACACTCAGATAATGATGAAGGCTTGTCAAGCTAAAATGTCAACATATTGATCTAGCATCTAATGCATGTCGTTTTTCTATGTTGACAGTGAAGAAATAATGAGGAGGAAAACATACATGGTTTCAGGAAATTTATATTCAACTGGCAGACACAAATAAAATAGGAAACAAAACAAAACAAAATAGCCTTATTTATCTACCACTCTGGAAATAACTAGGGTCCTGATCCAACTAGTCCAAAGAAAACTCACCAATGGCCTATGTGGCAGCCTGATACAAGAGCTCTATCCAATGAGAATGTCTTATTCTGGGGATAAGGATCACAGGTACAATCACATCTTCTATGACGGAGTTTAAGTAAAAGATATACACACACACACACACACACACACACACACATCAAGGAGTAAGCAGAGTGCTACAAACAGAGGGAGAGGCAGTGAAAAGGCACTCAGCAGAAACCAAAGATTCCAGAAGACCAATCATTTCACCGGTCTCACTGTTCCCATGAAATGCAGCAGTCTGGCTGGGCACAATTCAGGAGCCACTTGTCAAAAGAAACGAACTTTATTTTTAGAACACACAAACCAAACCACACAGCTCCTCAGGAAAACCTTCAGAGCCCAACTGCCACCACCGGCTTCCCACAAGCCTCTCAACCTCCCCCTCTCCTCCTGCTCTTGAGGCCGATTGGCTGGGTCGGATGGGCGGAGCCAAAAAGTCCCCCAATGAGCAGCTCCATGGTCTGAAAGGGGGGGGGGGGGGGGGGGGGGGCAATGAGCATCACCACAGAGGAGCCAATCAGTTGGCAGCTAGAAGTTGCTGGGGCCGCTGTGAGCCAATCATCAGCTGGCAGCTGGAAGTTTGCTGGGGCCCCTTCTGGCTGTGGCTCTCAACAACCAATCATTTCACCGGTCTCACTGTTCCCATGAAATGCTTCACAAACGCATACCCCCCACCTCCAAAAAGAGCCATGGAGTAGAACAAGGAAAATTCTGGTTACTGCATATGACTACTAAGCATCAAGTCCTATTCACTTATTCAATACTCTGAGAAGTTCTGCAGTGGGAAAGAAGAAGAAAAAAAAAAAAACACCTTTTTGTCTTATTCAACGTGGTTCTTCCAAAAATTTGTCACTAAAGAGCCTACTGTATTTTTTTAATATAGTATTCAGTCCACAATTTAATTAGACTAATTTAGTCCACAACAGAATGACCAAACCTTCAAGAAATGAGGTAGAGAATCATCATCATCTGGCCTTCAGGCAGAGTTGAAAAACAGTATTAACATTACCCGCTTGATTTAAAAATGTCAAAAGAGAATTCAGTTTAAACTGGCATAAGACTAAATGTGCCCAGTTGCCTGGCAGAATCAAATAGTTCCCACAGGCAAAGTACCAATAAATATAAGCACAACTCACAAAGCACACAAGGAAACCTACCACCATTATTTAGAGTTAGACACAGTATCAGAATCAGATCTTCAGAAATCATCAAGTATTAAAAAAAAAAAAAAAGAGGAGAAGTAGTTTCATCTGTTTAAAGCAGTTAAAAGGATATTTTAAAGTATTACTAAGGAAAAGGTGACTGTCAAAAAGCAAATTTTTAAAAGAATCAAATTAAACATCTATAAATAACTATAATAACAATATAATAATCCAAAAGAGAGTATGACAGCATTGAAGAGAAAACCAGTAAACTAGAAGACAGATCTCAAATGTAGGGAAAAGCAGGGCAGGGATATGAAAAGAACTTCATAGATATGGAAGGTAGAATAAGAAGATCTGTAGATATTTTACTAGTCCTAAAAGAAGACAATAGAGCAATAAGGGAGAGGTAATATTAGAAGACAGAATGGCTAATAAAAACATAAGCCTTAAAAATCAAGGAAACACAATAGATTTCTAGTGAGACAAGAAAATAAAATCCATAACCTACAATCATTTTTCTTTTGCTAATTATTTGTACTCGTTAATATCAAAAGATTTTGACATGCACTGTTAAAAGCTAGGAGAAATAGGGGTTGTGGCTCAGTGGTAAAGCGCTCACCTGGCACATGTGAGGTCCTGGATTAGATCCTCAGTACCACATAAAAATAAACAATTTTTTAAAAACACGATTAGAAATTTTTTTAAAAAGCCATCAGAGCAAGAGGGAAAGAAATATGAAGCAGGGAATTAAAA